AATAAGTGAATTAAAATAGAGTAGATATTACAATAATTTAAACAATAGTTAAGTCTTCGTTTTACGTGGGACAACAACTATACTAAAAAAAATATATTAGAGAAAGATTTTTGTCATGAAGATGACAAATTATGTCGCGGATACATTGAATTTGTAATAGATGTAATTTTCCGTCTCTAAAAGTCATTTCAAAACCATTAATATCAATCTTGTGATGAAGCTTATTATTCTGTCAACGTCACAGAATCAATCTAAAATAATGTGTTACATTATTTTAATGTAGTAGCAAACTATCCACCACAAAATAAAATAAATAACTATTTACACTTATATATATATATATATATATATATATATATATATATTCATTTTGAAATTTTATATAAAATTATTTATGATTATAATTAAATAAAATGTAAAAGTGGTTTAACATAAAAATGGTTATATATAATAATATTATTTTGTATACGGTAATTAATTATATATTAAGAATTTATTTTTAAAATGTATAAACATTAATTTTGATGGATTAGAAGTCATTTTATGATGTACAGCGATGCGAAAAATAAATAAAGGATAAATAAAATGTAAAAAAAATATTTTTTACGAAATAACTTACATGACAAAATGTTTTAATTTATAGAAAAATAGTCTTATCCAAATATAAATATTATATTATATTAATTAGAAATCAAAGCTTGAGTGCAATTTTATTTCTAAGAAAGATTAATCATGTTAATTGTGATAAATTAAGGTTCAATTATTGGAAAGTAATTTAAATCACATCCTTTAAAATCAAATTATTCGATATTCAATTCCATATATAATTTATGATAACTTTTGAAAAACATATAAATATTAAAAATCATTGAGAAATTCGTTAGATTATGAAAACAGTATCCAAGAAACAAAAAAACATGAACTTTATAATATATATATATATATATATATATATATATATATATATATATATACTCTTAAAATATAAAATTATATTGAAAGCTATACATTTTTATTCATATGCAGCATAATCATTTCTAGACATAGTTTTTTTTTTTAAATATAAAAATAAGTTTCAAGAGATGATAAACACAATCCAAAATTTTGTGTCTCCATAAAAAAATATAATTTAAATTTTAATATAGGTTTAAAAAGTTCTTTAATGTTAGAATTTTGGAAAATGAAAAAAGAATAGCAAACAAAAATAAAACTCGCTAAGTCTAATTTGTGTATTTAATTTAAGTGGATGTAAATAGGGACGTTTTAGGTTATTAGAGAAAATAATGCTATTTTCGCAGTTTTTAAAAGAGAAAAAAAAAAACATACAATTGTTTCACATATTTTTTTCAAGTAAATTTCTTGAAAGTCAGTTTAAGAGAAATCAATTTTATCTAATTACTTTATTATTGAAGGTTCATCTTCTTCTTTTTTAATTAAAAATTTTATTATTTTGATGTATTATTAACTTGTTGTAAGTATTTATTTGTGTTTTTTCATAAATTTTCTATACATTTTATTTGTTCTTTATTTGTATTTTTATAAATTCTCTATATATTATTTGATCTGGATCAAAGTTGATTAATTAGTTTGTATTCGTTGATTTTTACTTCTAACGTGGAGAGTATTTTGAAATTATAAAAAAATAATATAAAAATAATTTAGTGATTTGAAGAAGAGAAATAATATTAATTAGATACGATGCCCCACGTATCATCTAACACGTGGTTAGTGCTTAACTTTATGTGTATATCATCATACTATTACAACGCTAATTACTGTTTTTTGATGTACAAATCATGTCATAATTATTGTTTTCTCCATGTCTGCATGACGCAAGCTCAATTAATGGTGAAAATCTTCCCACAAAATGCATTAAATGGATACATAATCAATAATTAAAAATAAGTTTTAAATTCTAAGTCTGAAACTTCAAACCTTATAATCTAAATTATAAAAAAATATTTAGGGATCTTGAACAACTGTTTTAAAAAAAAAAAACTAAAATCAAAATTATCCCCAAATTTTACGGGTTTAAAATATAATTAAACCTAAACAATAATTTTATTAACAATGAGTTCTAAAAACATCGAAGCTTTCCTTTCTCTAAACTTAACCTATGTAATTTAACAAATATTTTTTCTCTATATCACACGATATATTTAATTTAATTTAATTTCCTTTAATTTTTACACAATATTTAAACAAGTTTCACCATAAACATTTTTGGAAGTAACAATATAAAACATAATTTTCTTTTCATCTACTAAAATTAATTTATACATAAATTAAATTTGTAAATTTTTCTTATATAATAATAATAATTATGAATGATTGTTTTTAATAATAAAAAATTATTTTTTTATATAATTTTTTAAAAGTTATATTTATGAGTTTCTTATTTAAAAATAGAGACGAAAATAATTATAAATACTTTTTTTTCTTAAGGATATTATGAAAAATTTATATGTATACATATATCCATGTTTAGGACAGGAAGACCAAAGAAATATAAGTGCATTCCCTCATGCTTCCCACAAAGGGTAACCACAACCCTCCCTTGAGATTAAAGGGTACCCTGTTATCCTACCATATGTCACAACGGGTAATGCAGAAAAGGAAGAAGGAATTAATTAATTGGTGAGTGAAAATGATGGATAAATAGTGAAATACCAAACAAGTCCTTAACGTACTACACTAAGACTCTCCATATCTCTGTAACAAGGATTGTAGGTTGTGGGGACCCATGCACACCCTTCATGGGAGACATAGATGTCACTGTTTCTTTTGGCTTTTTCACTGTTTCATCATAAAATTTTCATATATTTCGTAAAGAGTAAATGTGTGTGCTTTACTTTCCGTGTGTCTTTCCCAATTCTAATTTCCCAAAGCAAAACTACATACTTCTTCCATGTGCTCACACCCCCTTTTCAGCGTTTCTTCTTCGATTAGGAAAAATAATTATTAATTCAATTTTACAAAATTCAATAAATAAATTAATAATTATACTCATTTAAATATTATTATCAGATATAAATTTTAATGTGACAAGGAAAAAAAGTTTATTATTCTTTTGGGGGTACTCATATAATCAAACAACCAATTGAAAAGTTAGTATCAATAAAATGTGTAGGGAAATGAGTTTCTTTATATATAATTTTCAAAAATGTAGTTTGGCTAATAGGTCAAAGGTGATAATTGGATTGTCTTAATCAGAATTTCTTATGAATAAAGTGTTTGGTGATTAATTATTGGAGTGGTACAAAAATTGGTCTTTTATTTTTTAATTTATATTTATAAAATTTTTAAAGTAAAAAAATTAAATAAAAATACAAAATAAAATAAGTCTAATATTTTTTAAACAGAAGTTTTTAAAAAATGCAAGAAACCATTTTTTACATCGCTATTTGTTTGTGGTATACATGTAATTCAATAAAGTCAAGTTCTCTCTTTTGACTTTTAAAATATAATAAATGGATGTAATGATTTATGAAATAGTAGTAATGAATTTGGTAATCCGTGACGGTATTATGGGATAATGATCACGTAATTTAGAAACTGTTTGCTGGAACAGTTTTACAATAAACCAATATCATGGAATATTGATTTTCCACCTTTCTTTTTTCACATGAAAAGAAACAAAAAGAAGAATGTGATTTGAGTTTGGAAGAATATAATTTTATCGAATCTTAAACATAAAGCAAATTACCATTCCTTTCTTGGGAATACTACTTTGTTTCTAATCAACTTCATTGTTTTCAAACCATCTCTACAGTGTCTAATGCGTTCACAAGATTCCTTTCTACTAATAATATTTTCTAAAAACTAAAGAAAAGCACACAATATTTTTTTCTTCTTCTTAATAACATACATCCAATATCGTAAATTATACAACATACATCCAATAAAAATCACTAATATGCACAATTTAATCCTAAAAAATCATTTAAAATATGTGATTTGCATATTAATTTATATATTATATATTCCTAGTTGAGCTAAGATATATAATGATATAATACTCAGTGTTATATGTAGAAAAACGTAGTATATATGTATATGCATACGAATAAGATGGCGTATCTTGACTCTGAAAGAGAAAAAACAAAAGAAAAAGAAAAAGAAAGGAGGGTTTTGAAACCTTGTGTTTGCATGGGAAAAAGGTGAAGCATAGAAGGAACATAATCGATATTTTTTCTTTTATTAGGGTTGTCCAAGTCAAAGAAAGATTTCTTGCAGAAGCAGCCAAAGAAGAAAAAGCCACCACACATCCTTTTACCACACTCTGCTCCTTCTTTCCTTCTCGTGCCAATGGCTTTACCTTTCTAGATTCTTTACATAATATTTCATTTTCAACTACACAATGGTCCCGCCCTATGTGTTTGCTTTCGATAAATAAAAATGTATAATAACATCATATTGCTTTCAAATTTGATACATGCAGATTCTATATTATACACTCAAAAAAAATATCATTTTGGTAAGAGATTTATTTTATATTTCCAAAAGGGTATGTTTACAAAACTCAATTTGCCAATTTTTAACATAAAAAGGTTGATTAGATTTAGATGAGTTGAAATTCACTAACTGTTATACTTAATGGATGTGAATTTTAGGGATGCCATTCGTGAGAAGAATTCAGAAATATTGCTTGAATCATCATTCTTTGATAAATTAAGGTTACCCTTTTCTTTAAAACTGTTTAAATTACATAGGTTAGCTTTTATTTCCACAATATCAGGCATGGCCATTTTGGTAAATTCGGTCGCCAATGAACAACACCTTTCATGTAAAACTTCCGTAATAAGTTGGTCTTGGTTCTTGGACAAATGTGCATCGAATTTCAGTACCTCCAACCAAAATCACTTTTGTTGAAGCTTCTCATCCTCTCTTCCCTTTCTCTCTCTCTCTCTCTCTCTCTCTCTCTGACCCAATTTGATTAATCTCTTTCTCAACTATTCTGCCTTGTTCTTTCTCCCTCTTCTTAGCCTTGGAGCTGGTTGATGGATATTGAACCCTTGTGGGCTATTGGGGGGTGGTCTTCTCTTTCAAATTGCATGGCAGAACCTAAATCATCATCACCAATCTCAGAACCTTTCTCAAAATCACCCTCTTTTCTTCACCTCCTCACACTTTTCTTCATCCTCCTCCTCCTCATCAATCTATCCCACCAACCATACCCTTCTACTATGGTCTCTTCGGAAAACACCAAAGCAGCAGAATCAACCATGCACCCTCAGAATGGCCACAACTCCCATAGTCCATCTTCTAAGGATGCTTCTAGAAGAGAATTTGGAGCTGATGCTCATGAAGTTCCAAGTGGTCCAAACCCTATATCAAATTAACCGGTAAGTCTGAACTCAGAGGCATATACCAGCACATATATGAACCATATATAGCTAGAGCTAGCTAAATATTGAAGATGACAAGGAGATGTAACGGCATAGTCACTATTCTAATGGTCATCCTCATAGTTCTTATTTTAGTTCATCACCATTAATGTCTTACCTGTCTCAGCGAGAGCTTTGTTAGTATTGTTGTTGTCATCATCTTTAGCAAAATGGAATATCACCCTTTTTGGCTGGAAATGTATAGCAAGAGATACTCTATTTTCTCTATGTATGAATGTACCTACCTGTTTCTTTCTTGTATAGATGGTGACAAAATGGTGTTGGTGATGGCATAAGCATTTAAATCCATCTGCTTCTAAGTGTGGTAATTGGTTTTGGCTTTCTACCATATCTGTATTGAAAATTAAGTACAAAGAGTTCAAATTTATGTGGTTGAGTTGTGTGACATATATCTATATTTCATCTTTCACTTTTTCTTTAGATCCTGCCCTCTTTCTTTCCCTTAACATTTGGATTGATTATGGGTTATTTTTCTCTTGGACGTAATCTTCATCTTCTTCCTTACTCATTAACTCATCTTGGTACTTTGATTCAATTTATTTAATGAAAAAAAAGGAGGGATTTAATTCAATTTTCATCTTGGTACTTTGAACAAGAAGTCAAGAACTATTGTGCCATTTGGTTTGGTGATTCAGAAGATGTCAAGAGGAATAATTTCATTTCTTCGTTAAGCAAAAAGAAGTGATGTTGTGCCAAGAAACTCATACTAGAAACCACTATTTGAAACACTACTAGAGTTGAAATCAAGAAGAATCCAGAAGAAGAAACAAGAAGGAGCAGAAGGTAGGTGGTAGTGTGAGTAAGGTTTGCATGGCTCTCCCTATGGATTCTATTGGGTTTCAAAACTCAAGAGGAAGGAAAGATGCAGATAAGAACGGAATCTGAGGCACACAGAAAGCAGTGGTGTCAGATCTATGACAGAACAGTGAGAGAACTTGGTACCTTTTGTTTTGCCTGAGCAAATTTATTTTTTTCTGCCTTTGAACGTTGCTTTTGTCTTCTCAAACACACTTATCAAGAAAGCTGGTACCAACCATAGGTCATGAGTGAGCCCATGATTTGATAATTATAAGAGTATCATTTCCTAGTGCTGAATCAGCTTCTATTCCAATCATAAACTTTACCATAACCCCCTCCACACTCTCTCTTTCTCTGCTACTTTTTTTCTTTTCCAAATCACAATTGATTCCCTATAATTTCTTTAAACTGCAACTACACATCCATTTGACTAATATCTAGCAGTCATATCATCCATAGAGTAGTAGTCCTTATTTGCAGGTCAAGGAATTGTGGAAAGTATGAACACACTTGCCATCATATACCTCTCTAATTACATCATTAATTAGTAAAAGATAATTTTGATGTTTAAATTATTTAGTCTTGTTATATAAAAAGTTAATATGTTATCGGTCCTTTTAACGGAGACACATGGTTTTAGTCTATGATGTGATGGCAGATTAAAATCACATCATTTCTATACTCTATTTGATTAAGTTCAAAAGGGGACATGAAAAATTATTAATTTTGTTTCTTTTCCTCCTTTATATGATATGCGCAAACTTTACTCCATTCAAATTGGAGAAAAATAAGTGAAAGTAGTTTTTTTTACTTATAAAAAAAATACTAAAATAACACTATCTGTTATACTAAATAACTAGAAGATGATCTCAATATTTACTCTTTTTGTTTCTCCATTATTTTTTTACCATAATACTAAAAACATTAAACTTTTTAAGGGAGTATAATTGAATTTTAGTGCACCCCGTATCTTTGTAGGATATAAAAAGTGAAAGTAAAAGACATAGTAATAATGTGATAAAGAGGTAAATAAAAATCCAAGCAGTCTTATTATTTTCACAGCACCTATTTAACTAGTTCAAATCAACTAACAAAAATTAGTTAGTACCATTATTTTGCTAAAATTCATTTTTTTAATCCTAATAAAATATTGAAAGATTTGTCTTTAATTTAATTCTCTTAATCTCTCATCATTCACAATACCCATTTGTTTTAATTTGATGTCTTTTCAAAATGTTATGTATATGAGGCAAAACTTTGAATTGATTAAGGGAAAACATGAATTTGATTTAAAAAAAAAAAAAGAGAAAAAAAATCACTGTTTGAGTGTGGTAATATTAGCAGAGCATACAGTAGTTGATTTGTTTTGTGATTTGAAGGGGATGAAAAAGGTGGGTTGGTTAGCATTAAAAAATGCCTTTGTGTAAAGGTGTATCTTTTGACTTGTGTCGTTTTCTAATACATAATCCCTACCGTGGGGTTTACTGAATTTTTTGTGGCATAATTATTGCAAAAGCTAGATAATCAAAATCTGAGGCACTTGCCAATGCCCAAACACTGGGACCATCTCCAACCTAAGCACCATGCATTTTTAACCCTTCAAATTCTTAATTTCAACTAATTTTGTCTTCCTCATTTTTCATCATTTCGACATTCATTGAATTTTCAGTTTCCAACCGTGCTGAATCAACCTTCAAAGTTAACAAATCATGCTCAGAAAAGGATCTTGGGTCCCACAAATTATTGACCAATAATCCAAATTCTATCTTTAATCATTATCTTATATCACTGTTAAAAAAGAGGTTTTTATTTGAAGCTTTTAAACACACAATAACAGTTTTAACAGTTGAATATGTTAATTGATGGTTCTAATCTAATATTTAGCACCGATCTTCTTCTCACCTAAGAAAATGGGATATATAATATATATTTTATTTTAAAAAAAATGCACTTTATTTTCTACTTACTTGTTACAATTGAAAAGCCAAATAGCCATGTATAACAAGGTCACAATTCACCCACATCTCAACAACATGTGACAACTCTGTGTGAACGCATACAAATGTGATGTGCATTTGACCTAGTTGTCCTGAAAACTACCAATAGATGAGTTCCCTACTATCAGCATCAAGCATAGACTTTAGTCCCCACTACAAGCAACATGCGACAAACCAAATCACATATGTAAGTGTGCTTCATTGTTGAAACAAGCCACATTCATATGATTGTGAAATCCATGTCTGAAAATATGTTCAAGCCCAAAACCCAATTTAATTTAGTACCCAACAACAATTAGAGATGAGAAAGTCTTCATAGCCAAATTAGTCATTAAATTTTCTTTTTCTTATTTTTAGTTGTTAAAATGAGTTTTATATTTGTTTTTAGGTTTAATCATATTTTAAGTCCTAAAATTTAGAGTAAGTAATAAATTAATCCTTTAAATTAAAAAAATACATTTTAATCTCTCAAATTTTATAAAACATAGCTTTAGTCCATAAACACTAAATTTGTAAACAAAGAATGGTTGTAAAAAAATTCATTGTAGTCCTTTCAAATTAAAATTTAGGATTAAAATATACTTTTGTTTGTTTAATTTTAATATATTTTTTTAAAATTTAGAAATTAAGATCAAAATCATTATAAATTATTCAGGAAAAATAAAAGCATAATTAAGCCAAGTTTATTATAATTATGTACAAAATTATAATAGTTATTGCTAAATATTTTCTTATTAAACATTATCTTTAAATTCTTTATACATTAATATATATATATATATATATATATATATATATATATATTTTTTTTTTTCTTTAATGTGTATATATGTTACTATACAAAAATAACCAATTTTAACTTGTAAGAATGATCAAACCAATCACAACACTAACCTAAGCGTTTATGAGAGGTTGTGTCTGTATAATTTAAGATTTTATTAATTGAATTGTAATAGGATAATTATTAATAAAATAATAATATTAATTAGTAATGAATATAATACTATTAAATAAATATAATATTATAGATATATGGCGATAAAAAAACTCAAACAAAAAAATTACTACATCCATCTTTATCGTTTAAAGTTAAAATATCTGTGCATGATTTTTATCATTCAAAATACAAATATGACTTGTTTTAAGTATAACAATATTTATTAACAATAAAAACAGTTTAACATATAATAAAGGAATATAAAAAAATAATATATTTCACTTAGAGTTTATAATTCAATTTTTATATATTAGTTTTGATGTTATAATTTTAAATGATTTATTTTCTAATGTCATACACAGTATATTTTTAATTTCTAAATAGAAAATGATATAAAATTTATATTTTTAGAGTTACTAATTATAATATGTTAAAATTATATATATTATATAAAAATAACAATTCTTTACATATAAAATGATAAATATATAATTAAAAAATAAAAATAAATGTTATAATTTTTTATAACATATTAAATATATTAATTAATTCAGTTATACATTTTAAAATAATCTAATTATTGTTATTAATATTTATATTTTTGGTACTAAAAGAATTCTAGTTGATAATTAAAAAAAAAAAACACAGATGTTTATATGTCGAAAGATTTAAATGTAACACCCTTTTATAAAAAAATAAAATAAGAAAAGACACGTACTTAAAGTATATTTAAATAATTATTTTAGAGAGGAGGAAGTGCAATTTTAATACAAAAATATATGATTGTATTATAAATATGATAAGGTTAACGAGTCCCTTAAGTTAGACATAGATATTCACTACAAGAAATTTTTTATTTACCGACGGATATTTACCGATGGATGTAGAACCGTCAGAAAATGAATAATTATCGACGGAAATTACCGACAGATTTAAAATGGTTGTGAAATTTGATTTTATCGACGGATATATCCGTCAGTAAATGAAATATTAATTACCGACGAATTTTTGAAATATGGTCTTACCGACGGATATATCCGTCGGTAAATTAACAACTATTTCTCTTCTCAGAATATTGTTATCTTGTAACCTAAACGTGATCTCACCACTTTCCCACTTTATTCCCCTGATTCCCTCCCGGCAGCCTCCAAATTCACGTGCCACACCACCTTATGACAGTCACAACCACTCACCATCAGTCG